AGGGCACCTAACAGTGATTCTCGAGAAGCTCTAGACGGAAACAGGCGAAGTAAAAAGGGCGGGCATATCACTTGCGAGACCGCAGAGTTCACGTGACCCCTACTTCCCGTTGCGCCATCCACGTTACAGTATATTTGAGCACCTTATGGCTAACAGTGGAAAATCAACATTTTTATTCAATTTCAGATCTGTCTACAGGTTACTGTGTAGCAGATGCATTGTCAAAAGAACTGCTCTGGGATTTGAACCCATGCTGATTAACATATATAAATTTTCCTAGGAACTAACTTAAAAATTATTTTTATGTGAATCGAGTTTCATAACTTAATATTAATTAATTAATATGAAGGATATTTGGGTATGGGCATCTGCCACTTTTTTAAAAAAATTCTGAGCCAAGAATATGGATAAAACCGTTTTATATCTGATTCATACACTGACTGTTCTGAAAACATTGAACCCGCTCTCTGCTGTGCTGATGACAACGCCAGGTAGCTGTGGGTGCCAATGTAGCTCTTTGATATCTGTTTGACCTTGGTGAATGAAAAGTAGTTGTGGCGGCAAATCCTGTGAAAAAAGAATGTGGTGTTCCAAATTCTAAAGTACTCAGCCACATACCCTGCAACTCCAGTTTCTACACAGTAAAAGTGTGAAAATAAAAAATCTGATTAAAGCCCAAACAAATGATCTCTAATAAGATATCTTTATTATGGTTTTTGTACTGTCACACAACAAACGTGGCTTTGATTAAAGTATAATAAAACAATTACAACAAGTAAGTCCATCAGTTTATTATAGCAATCACACTACATATTTCAGTCTATGTATAAATAAACAAAGAACGCAGTACATTATTGCTGAATAATATTGTAACGTGTTTCGTTACTGAATACGCCGCAGATCGTTAATTGGTTCATTGAACAATCTACAAGTAACGGCTACAATTACTTATCACACAGTTGCGGGGTTTCACACTTTATAACCCTAATCGCATTAATCTGTTACCACTGTTGCAGGGTTTCACGATTTATAACCCTATGCGCAAATCAGCTCACTCCGTCTTCAGTAGTCTACACGTTTACAGTAGGGGAGCTATGTATCACTGTATCACACACTCCCAATTACACAATCGCACACATGTCCGGTTCTTCTTTCCATGACAGCTGCTATACTCCAACTGTAGTCGGCTGACTGGAGAACTGTTGATAACACACTCGCTCGTAGGCTTGCTCGGAACTATCTTCGGCGATGGCCACGTTACAACTCGACTCGCAGCCGCTGTGCAGCTCACTTATATAGCCGCAGTGCTTGCCTGTTGCGTAATGAGTGCCACGTCATCCTGTTACTTCATCCGCTGTTGACTCGCGTTGCATAGCTACCAGGCTGCGGGGGCTCGGCTAACTTCGGCTCCGCTCGTGACGTCACCGCGGGGAGAGTGGCGGGG